AAACTTAAGAGAAAGAAAGCAGGAGAAAAAAAAAGCGGTTTAAGGTTTCATGAAGGGTGTTGGTGAGGGAAAACAGACCCAGGTGGCAAATTTTTGGAGAACAGGTGGTTTACAAAAAAAAGGAATCGCCCCTCAAAGTAATTTTTTAAGGAAGAATCAAAATGAACCAAAGTTTCCGCAGGGGAAAGCAAAGGCTGAGAGGCAAACAGGGGTTCATTTAGTGTGTACCTCGATTTAGACAGAAACACAGGAGGAAAGGATGATACTGAAAGAGAAGGGGTGCAAAAACGGGAAAAAAGGGGAAGGGGGGAAAAAGAAAAAAAGGGGAGCAGAATACCCAGGGGAAAAGGGAAGGGCAAAACACCCCCCAGAAAACCCGGGAAAGGGGGCCTTTCCCGCCATGACAAACCCCCAAAGGCCCAAATGAACAATCCCAAAACCCAAACCCTCACAACCATCCCTCTGTTTCCCCCCCCGCACCCAGTTACAGTATTAGAACAGAAATTTAAGGTTTGGTACACAAAATCGGATGGGTTAACGAATAAATTAAAAGAGGAAAGGCAAGAAAAAATCAATGGGGAAAATCCCCAGACATCTTTGCCAAATTAAACCCGAACAAAAATAGGGGGACAATAACAGATACAATCTTCCCACCAGGGTACCAGATCATGAGGAGGGGATAGACAGACAGGAGAAAGGGACTACATTTTGGGGACAAATTTAGTGATGTTTAATTCCCCCACAGAACTGCAGGGGCCAAGGAGGAATATGAAGAGAGCAAAAAGAGCAAGGAAAACACACTTGCCCGAGGTGGCAAGAAGAGCCACCAGCCCCGAGCAAAGTTTTCCCGGTTTTTGGGGGGTTTCAAAACGGGAAAAAATTTACTGGGAAAAACCCGGAGGGCCCCATGGGGGTCCCCCAAAAAATGGAAGCCAAAATGGGTTGGGTGTGGTGGGAAAAACCCATGGGACCAACATGTTTTAAAGGGCACTACCCCGAGTGAGAGGGGGGGGATGAACCAGCAAGATTTTACCTTGTTTCACCCTGGCAGTTCAGACATTGAGGAATCAAAGATGAGGGTCCCCCCAAAAAGCTAGCAACCACGGGTTCTGTTTCTTTGAATACATAGAATTGCAAGTGGAGAAGTAACAGGGGTTGAATGGGGAAAAACCTGACTATAAAAGAGGGGAAATACATAGGGAAAGAGGGAAATTCCCGCAGGAGGTTCTTTTGGGACAGAGAACGGCCCGGGAAAACTTGTAAATGGGAAAGGGTGGAATAGAAAAAAAAAATGAAAAGGGGGCAGTTGGAAAAAGGTTTATTTTCCCCAAAGGGTTTTTTCCCAGAACGATCCCCTGGTTTTATCCGAGGTGTAAGGAGGGGAAAAAAAAAAAGTGCAATAGAGAATGGAAAAATTAGAAGGAAAAGAACACGTTTAAAATGGGAATTTGTCCCAGAGCCAGGAACGATTTTGCACAGGTAAAGGGGGGGGGCCCAGCGGGCAGATGAAAATAAAATAGCAACGAAAAATTTAAAACTGACCCAAACTGTTTTATAGCCACTCAGGAGGGAAACAACAGTCAAAGGCCAGGTGTCAGACTGAGGACGAAGGTGGGGAAAATCGCCCAAGGAAAAGATTTAGGAGGGATTGGGGGAGGAGCTAAAAAAAGGAGAATTTTAAAGGGAAATTTTTTTCAGTAGAGACAGGGAAAGGGGGCCCGGGAAAAACCAAAACACAGAAGGGAACATAAGGGAAAAAATACCAACAAATGTTGGATGACATACGAACAACCGAGGAGGGGGGTGCAGAAAATGCCCAAGGGGACCTTGGTACCCCCAAAGGCGAATTGGGGCCAGAAAAAAATCTCCCCATGGGGCCTTTGAGAAGGAGCAAGAGGGTGTGTGTGCCCCCCAACCACAATCTTCAAAAACCCTCCCCTTTAAAATGGGAAAACCCCGAGAAATGGAAGACACAAAAGTAGTCCCCATATTTTAAAAAAGGAAACAGAAAAGAGGCCTAAACTACGCCTGTGTCTGACATGTATTGTTGCAAAATCCCTGGAGAAGATTTTTCAGGAAAAGGGGAGTGGGGAAAAACCCGGAACAGAAAAAGATTTAAATGAAACCAGCATGAGTTCATGGAAGGCCCAAAACCTTTTGTCACAAACCTTGTGGAGTTTTATAACAAGGTAAAAGAAGTAAGACGCGAGAGAGGGGGTGGGTTTTATTGCATTTTTCCCAGACTGCAGGAAGGCCCTTTTACACAGTTCCCACAAGAGATTAGTGCAGAAGCTGGAGGGTCAAAGGCATATAACAGGGAGGGCAAATACCCAAAGGTAAGGAAAACCGACAGGGAAAGGGAACAAAAGAGTCATGGGACGTGAAGAGGTTTTCACCCGTGGGGCCTTTGATGAGCGGGGGCCCCCAGGGGTCAGTTCTAGGAAAGGGGCTATTTTTGATACATGCAAACGACATGATGGGGAATAGACTCGAAGTGTCCCTTTCGCCCGATGGGTGTGAAGCTGATGAGAAGAATTAAATCGGATGAGGATGAGGCAGGACTACAGAGAGACCTGGACAGGCTGGACATGTGGTCCAGCAACTGGCTTCTCGAATTCAACCCTGCCAAATGCAAAGTCATGAAGATTGGGGAGGGGCAAAGAAGACCGCAGACAGAGTATAGGCTAGGTGGACAAAGACTACAGACCTCACTCAGAAAGACCTTGGGGTGACCATAACACCGAGCACATCACCGGAGGCACACATCAACCAAATAACCGCTGCAGCATACGGGCGCCTGGCAAACCTGAGAATAGCGTTCCGATACCTTAATAAGGAATCGTTCAAGACACTGTACACTGTGTATGTTAGGCCCATACTGGAGTATGCAGCACCAGTCTGGAACCCACACCTGGTCAAGCACGTCAAGAAGTTAGAGAAAGTACAAAGGTTTGCAACAAGGCTAGTCCCAGAGCTCGGAGGAATGTCGTACGAGGAAAGGTTGAGGAAAATCGGACTGACGACACTGGAGGACAGAAGGGTCAGGGGAGACATGATAACGACATACAAGATACTGCGGGAAATAGACAAGGTGGACAGAGATAGGAATGTTTCCAGAGAGGGGACACAGAAACAAGGGGTCACAACTGGAAGCTGAAGACTCAGACGAGTCACAGGGACGTTAGGAAGTATTTCTTCAGTCAGAGTCGTCAGGAAGTGGAATAGCCTAGCAAGTGAAGTAGTGGAGGCAGGAACCATACATAGTTTTAAGAAGAGGTATGACAAAGCTCAGGAAGCAGAGGGGGAGAGGACCTAGTAGCGATCAGTGAAGAGGCGGGGCCAGGAGCCGAGTCTCGACCCCTGCAACCACAATTAGGTGAGCGCACGCGCGCACGCACGCACACACGCACACAGACACACGCACATAGACATACGCACATAGACATACGCACATAGACATACGCACATAGACATACGCACATAGACATACGCACATAGACATACGCACATAGACATACGCACATAGACATACGCACATAGACATACGCACATAGACATACGCACATAGACGCGCGCACACAGACACGCACTCACACTCACTAATATTTGTAGCTGCTAGACATTATAATATGTGTGTGCATGTTAATATCCCAAGTGTTATTACGTAACCACGTATGTGGCGCAAGGATTTGATGTTCAAATGTTAAGTTGTGGTCGCAAAACATCATCGTTCAGGAAAAACGGTAATAAAACTGAAGGTGCGAGTCTTTGGTTTATGTCCAGAGTTTGTAAATACATTAGTATGTGAGCCTACATGTACGTATACCTGGTGAAAATTACACACATGTGCAACATCTGGGTGTCTTTATTGCAGAATATCTTCATGACTACGGTGCTCATCACACCATCTCCAAGACTGAGAGACTGATAACCTCATCTTTTGTATATAGTTCTTCTGTCTTCCATTTATGCCCTTGAATTTGTATTAATAAAGCCACTGGATGACGAAACGTCTACAATAAAGATACCCAGATGTTGCACTTGTCTAATTTTCATCTTGTTGGTATTGTATACCACTCATGTACAACGTATACCTGGGTGGGTTAATGGTAGTCTGTGTGAACTGTACCAGCCCTGTCCTTCCTACCGTGGACAGACACTGTACTTCCCACCTCCAAGTCCGGTTAACTAGCTTCCCCTGAATCCCTTCAGAAATGCTACCCTGCTCACACTCCAACAGCACATCAAACCCCCCCCCCCCCTCCCATAAAAACACTTGGTCTCCATTCGGTACACACTCACACACGCCTTCTGGATGCTCAAGCCCCTTGCACTGAAAATCTGAGGGACTGATCACCTTAAAACTACGTCTTCATGGGTGATGGATCGATAACATCGTCTTTACATCTGTCCTGCTTCTGCTCTCTTCTTTACTTGACTGAAGAAGCCTACTGTGTAGGCGAAACGTTTCGGAACAAAGATTCCTAACTGTTGCACACGTCTTACTTACCAACCTGTCGGTACTGTATATCATTTTAACATTTTCTCCCAAGTTTATCATAACTCCACATTATTCTGATATATGGGCTTCTTATACTCTGCGGTGCTCTCGACTGTTCCTTGGTGACGGATCTTGATCCAAGGAATTGGGTCTTTTATCCCCTTCCTCGGTTTTTCAGTTGCCCTTCATCCCAAAAGTGCTGCATAGCCCATGTGGATTTAGCGCTTCCCTAAACATACCCTGAAACCTGACCTCTGCATTGTACTCCTCTCCTCGCCGCAACCTTGAAAGTCCGTGCAAGACCGCCATATACAAGTGTAAGTACAACTCTACATTCAGTATGTTGCATATGTTGCTAGGCAAGACACACGTGCAACAGTTAGGCAACTTTATTCCGAAAGGTTTCGCCTACACAGTAAAGACACCTAACTGTTGCACGTGTGTCTTGCCTAGCAACATATGCAACATACTGAAGGTAGAGTTGTACTTACATTTGTATATGGCGGTCTTGCACGGACTTTCAAGGTTGCGGCGAGGAGAGGAGTACAATGCAGAGGTCAGGTTTCAGGGTATGTTTAGGGAAGCGCTAAATCCACATGGGCTATGGAGCACTTTTGGGATGAAGGGCAACTGAATTCAAACCGATGAGGGGGAGAAAAGATCCATACTTCCCCCATCTCAATCTGCTATCCAATCTTGTGAAAATGTATGGTGATACCGACATTGTTTGATCTCGCATCACACTTTTTTGCTTCCTGCTTCAGAATCTCTACAACCACGGTGCTCTAAACACCACCTCCAAGGCCGAGGGACTGATTACCTCATCTTTTGTATATAGTTCTTCGTTTTTCTTATTATGTCCAAGAATTTGTATTGATAAAGCCACTGGATGGCGAAACGTCTACAATAAAGATAACCAGATGTTGCACAAGTGTCTTAACTTTCATCTTCCTGCTTTAGCCACCCCTCCCCCCCTCCCCCCGCACTTCCACCAGTCTTGACAAATTCTCCTGAGAATCTTGAGAATCTCCTGAAAGAAATGTCATTGGTAAAGAGCAGCTGTGACAATTCCCACTTGATACCAGAGTTACCTTTCAATCCCACACACCTCTCCACAACACCCTAGCATTCACCTCTCTTACAATACTATAAATAATTAAGCAACCATGAACATCAAAATGGTATACAATACCGACAGGTTGTAAGGTAAGACACATAGGAAACAGTTAGGCAACTTTATTCCGAAACGTTTCGCCTACACAGTAGGCTTCTTCAGTCGAATACAGAAAGTATGCAGGAACAGTGGAGATGTTCATCTTGTCAGACACTGCAACACATGGCATCTTGGTACAGAAAACCACCTTGGACAACGTCTTTCAAGTGAGAATTGTTAGATCTGAGAGGGACATGACCTCTCAGTGGCTACATTCTCACTACTACTACTACTACTACTATGCACCTCTCCTTCCGACAGTATTTAAGTCTCCGCACTGTCGCTTGATCTTCAGATAGTTCCTAACTATGGAACTGAACTTCTCCAGGCTGAGGGACTGACAACCTCAAATTTTACGACTTCAAGTCCCCTGAAGGAAGGTTCCTTGATGTTTGGTGAGGGGCTCTTGATTTAGGGAATTGGATCTGTGCTCCAGTTCCCCGAATTAAGCCTGAATGCCTTCCACTTCCCCCCCCCCAGGCGCTGTATAATCCTCCGGGTTTAGCGCTTCCCCCTTGATTATAATAATAATACGACTTCAAGGGTGATGGACTGATTACATCGTCTTCACATCTCGACTATTCCTGTCTACTTTCTGTATTCGACTGAAGAAGCCTACTGTGTAGGCGAAACGTTTCGGAATAAAGTTGCCTAACTGTTGCCTATGTGTCTTACCTACTAAGCAACCATGGTGACATTACACATCCCTATCTATGTAGATAAGTGGTTCAGAGAACAGACATGTTGATAAATTAGACATATCAGTCTTGATGGACTACCTGGAGTTTACCTGGAGAGAGTTCCGGGGGTCAACGCCCCCGCGGCCCGGTCTGTGACCAGGCCTCCTGGTGGATCAGAGCCTGATCAACCAGGCTGTTGCTGCTGGCTGCACGCAAACCAACGTACGAGCCACAGCCCGGCTGATCAGGAACTGACTTTAGGTGCTTGTCCAGTGCCAGCTTGAAGACTGCCAGGGGTCTGTTGGTAATCCCCCTTATGTGTGCTGGGAGGCAGTTGAACAGTCTCGGGCCCCTGACACTTATTCTCAGTTGACTACATCGACTCAAGGCTAAGGGAGTGATTACCTCAAACTACTCCTGTTCTTCACCATTCGCCTTTGTATGGACTGATGAAACCATTGTGTGGCGAAACGTTTCCTCAATAAAGGTACCCAAGTGTTGCACATGCCTCATTTATCATCATCCCTGTCTGTGGCTCCTTTAACATACAGAGAGAGAGAGAGAGAGAGAGAGAGAGAGAGGGGGAGGGGGAGGGAGGGATAGAGATTGCAGTGGGATGAAGACATTGCCACACGGGGTAACACTGCAATGAGTGGGGGAAGCATTGTAAGTTGGTTTCCACTTGTGTAAGTGGCATTGCCTGAGTCTGTGTGCTGTTGTATAAGTGCTTGTCTAGGTATTGGATGCTACGTTTATTGCCTCAGTCTGTGCTGCTTATGTAGTTACTTTCCCAGTATATTGGACGCTTCCTGTGTTGCCACTCACAGAATGGAGGAGGAACACTGCAGTGCAGATCAATGGTTCGGAAAACCGACGAGTTAATAAATTAGACACATGTGCAACAGTTAGGTATCTTTATTCCGGTTTAGAAAGACACGTGAGCAAACACTGACATATTTGAGGAAATGGTATGGTGATACCGACAAGATGTGGAAAAAGACACTTATGTACAGTTCAGGACATTTATTAAAGGAAACGTTTCGCCACGAGTGGCTTCTTCAGTCCTAATACAGAGAAAACTAAGAAAACATTTATATATATAGTGGCAGGAGTCAGGTGAGGTGACGCGTGGGTAGAGGTGGTAGTAGTAGTAGTAGTAATGGAACTA